GGCTATTACAACCTAACCATAGCTCACTACAGAAACTCCTTGCTCTCTGATCCTTGTTTCCAGGGACTGGAAGTTCTTGCAACTATCTGTGAGCTCAACCTAGGATGAGCTACTTCTACTGACAAGTAAAGGTTACTGAGGTAAAGACAACATCTACCTTGTATGACCTCTTAAAAGGTCACACTGAAAAACTAGGGAGACTTTCCATTTGAGAGCATAATAAAAACATCCTCCATTTTGTATGACTCTAGAGGATTAATGCTTTACCAGGAGTCTCCCATCAGTTTGTTTTACTAAAACATATGACAACACTTGGGTGCCCCTTACAAATACTTCTGTAAATACTAAACAATAAGCATGAAACTGAAATCACAACTCCACTGGAAGGTCTATTATTTCACCCAGACTAGACAAACCTCTAGAAACCACTTCAAGGAGAAACAGTTTTTCTTAAATCCCCAACCAAATAAATTATTAAAACAAACAATTTCTCTACGAAATAATAACTCAGGGGTATAAAGTACTTCCAATGAACACAAGTATCTCTTCTACTACTAAATATGCTGCCAAGGATGCCTAATCCTAAATTCATCCTTTTCTCTGCTGTGGGGTTTTCTGGTGGGTGGAGGGGAAGGCAGGCAGGGGACAAATGGAGGGTCAGAGGCAGGGATAAGGCGTATGGCTGTGTGTGGTGTTTAGTTGATGTTCCGCTACAACAGTGACTGTTTTTCAATGCTGAAGCAGAATGCCAGCCACAGCCAGGCTTAAAACAGTCCAAGAACACTCCCAAGTTTACTGTCTCTGCATTTGCCGCCTGAGGCTGTTTCAATGGTATCCATTTCCCAGCAGCTCAGTTGTCAGCCACACACAAGTGCAGATTAATAAGGAATTTCTGATTTATTCATTGAACATGAGAAAATTATTATGACTCTAGTTTAGTTCTAAATACCCTAAACCTCAGTATGAATAACAATAGTAAAGGTCAATGTTGGTGTTAGAGGACTCTTTAGGGCACTAACTGTTGTAAAATTAAAACATTTAACTTTTTTTTTAAGCAAGTGGTCATAGAATGCAGTCATGCTGGATGCAGCCATACCAATTAAAGTGATATAGCCATACCAATTAAAGTGCTGCCTTTGGGTTATTCCTCTTTCACCAGACAAAGAGTATTAACACAGTAGTCCTGAAGTACATTCATAGAAGTTACTTGCTATCACTCAATGTAGTGAAGCCATTTTCACAGTATTTTAGTGTTACAAATAAACAAACACCAGGTATAGACAAAAAGAAAAAGTTTTACAGAAGATAAATTGCTTACCTGAGACACAGAGGGCAAAACCCACCACAGCAATTATATAACCAAGAATTTGCAAACCTATCAGAGCAAATGTTGCTTGTGGTAGACTATCAAAAACTGAGAAAGACAGAAAGAGAAACAAAATTGTAATTTTTAAAGACTAAATAAAGAGATATAAATGGCAAGTCATTCATATAAAGCTAGAAATCAGATTCTCTTAAATTCCAATCTTAGACAGTGTGATAACAAAATTCAAAAGCCACTGCAAGTCACTCAGGGCTCTTGTAGGTAGACATACACACATATGCATAAAAAAGTATGTACATATAAATAAAATAAACTGTAAGTAGAAAAAATGAAACACATACATTCTGAGAGTTAGTTATTCATGCCAGTCCCAAGGCTCAGGAAGGAAGAGCAGGAATCACTCAGATGTCCTATCCTAAATCTCATTTTTCAAGCAGGTTACTTTTACTTCTTCCCTGAAGCAACTCAGCCAAACGCCACACGTTAAAACATTTTGGTTTGAGGAAGGTCAGGAATCCAGGACACTATCACAGTATTTGTTTATGAAAATAGTATGCAGATGGCGGGGAGACGGGGGACAGGGAGAAGCTCAGTTTTTCTATCAGTATGTTCTTGAGCTAGTGAATAAATAACTACTCACCATTTCCAAACATAAGGTATTGAAGCGGTATCGAAATCAAAGCAGGGACTATAATTAGGCCAAGACCAGCTTGATTCTGTGGAGTATAGCCATCTGTGAACATTTGTATAGAAATCAGTAAAACAGAAATCCTTGATTGGAATAAAGCACAAAGCACCAAAAGTAAATCATTAGTATTATCAAGTTTTTAGGGTTCAGAAAAAAATCCCACTAAAGCACTAGAAGTCACTCCGTACTCCCTAATATCCACCCAGGGTAGCAGGACAGAAAACAGAAGTAAATTTGGAGTCTCTATCTCCCTATGATCATCTGAGGGCCTGACAACCACAATGCTGTTGTATTCTGCTTTTTTTCCTTTTCATTTTAAAATTAGTAGATGGCAATTAACAGGTGGCACTAACTTCCATACTAGTGCATGGAAGACATTCATTTGTGCTCTTATTCCCTTAAACTAGGAAGACAATTTTAATACTCTTACCTTGGGCAAACAGAACAGTGCCTACAACAGCAGCAACTGTGAAGATGACACTTGCTGCAATAATGCCCAATTTCTTCTGAGATACAATTTCATATTTTAATGCTTAAAGACAAAATAAAAAGAGACAGAGAAGAAAATAGTCATACAGATTCTCTCACCACAATGCACAGATTTTATGATTAGGACTGTTTTCCTAAACAAAGAGACAAACTCCTATAAAATTCGAACTATAAATATTACCAAGATTTCACTTGTTTTCACTGTTTGATATGGTTAATATAACTTACTCAGAGAAATGAAACCTGGCATTGGTGTTCTAGTCAAATTGTTAATTCCACCTTCTATCCGATGCAGGGGATATGTTATCAAAATAACTTTGGGGCATGGTACTGGTTAATTCAAGTAGAGGCACTACTGACATTTAAATAACGTTACAGTAAATTGGTTACTCAGGTGAGTGTCAGACAGGGATTCAGAAATTCCAGGTTTAATTCTCTTCACCATGACACTGAGTTCAGATGTATCATGTCCACCCCCTAAGGAACAGGGTGATGTTCCCATCTCATCCGAATGCTTTCTGCATGAGTAGATGTGGATGACCTACATGTTCAGATGCCATAGCAAAGACTAATTTTCAGTAAAACTGCACTGCTAAATAGGTGTCATCTCTGAAATGGTTGAGTGCAGTGGAGGGTTTCAAAACAGTAGCACTTTAGTAGTCTTTGGAAAAGAAGTACAGTACAAATACAACATCATCATTTGTTTCTGTCTTACACACTATGAAAACTAAGACATAAGAAAAGGTAGCTCTTGCTCCTAGCTTGAAAACTAATATACCAACAATCCTAGTGTACGTTGAAATTGGTAATCACAAACAGAGAACAAACAAATACTGTAAGTAACTTCAGAATGAAAATCAAGGAGCACATAAAGAATTAAAATCCCACTTACATTCATTGCCTTAGCACAAAAAAATTATCATGAGGATACAGTAAATATTCTAGAGGGTAAATATGACAAAATCTTTAATAGCATCTTATCTATGGAAGGGTCACAGAATACTCTCTCTTGTAATTAAAACCGTATCTTTCATTATATTCACATTGCCTAACACAACAGGACCCCTGTCACACTCTCAAGTGCTACTGACATTTAAAGCAAAAACTTATTTGGAATAGTAGTAATAGTAAAAACTTTCTGCATATCTGTACTGGAAATTCACATTTTTTCATATTGCAAATATGCTATATAAGGAAAGCAAGAGAGAACACAAAGGCAAAAATAAGCGATGGATACACTACACTTAAATCCTAAAAGCCAATCATGTAGAAAAAAAAACAAAACAAAAAACAAACACCACACAAAAGCTCTCAACCAATTCCCCCACAGAACACAAAACCAAGAAAATATATTCTCAAGTGTTACACAGAAAAATCAAACCCAGTTTAACAAACTATTTAAAGGTATACTGTAGCACTGGTGGATTCACAGCTTAACCAAAACTGCAAATTAAATGAAAAAAAACCCCAAACCACCACCACTAAAAATAAACAGTAAGTACACCCACATTTATTAAGTTAGAGGTAACATGATTACTTTCTCCCAAAGAGGTCACAAGTCTCACGACAAAGCACAGAGATGCAAAAAAAAATCCAAGCAGGCTCAACTCACTCCTGTAAAATGTCAGAGCTTCTCCATGGATGTATCCATGCTTATTTCAGGACAACTATTACTTTCCCATCAAAATGCTAATAATGTTCAAAGTTCTGCTACAAACGCAAGGCAATGACAATTCCTGAACACATCAGAGACTCCTAAACCATTATAAACAATAATGAAAATCGGGAATCTAACACTATGGAAATAAAATAATTAAAAATATATGTATCAGTTTTCAACCTCTGACCATGGATGGACCTTTGAAGAGTCACATGCCACTTTCAGAAGTTCACAAAAAGGTAATAAAGGAAACTCCATGCAGATGGTTGAATACATATGTGATTACTATAAAATCATGCTGAGTGCTATTTCTTTACATTTCTTACAGACTTTAAGCAGAAATTTTTATTTAATTTATTTTTTAGAAGTCTAGAAATTGAAAAAGGCTGAAAAAACCTCAGAGACTGATGCAACAAATTGCAGCACAGAGAGCCATTTGAAAGACTAAGACATAAAGCACGCTCTACATCACACAGATGTTGGATACCAGTGTGTAAATAACACCTAAGGGTGTCTGACACTGGTAAATATATTACCTCTAAAAACTTTTAACAAAATAATTGATGTCAGTCTTAAATTATAATTCTGCCAGTGCTAAAAGACTAATGAACAATATTACACTGAGAGAGCGCTGTCCTTCTCCAATACTGATTTTATGACCATAAAATGAAACATGTTTCTGTTTCTGATTTGGTAATGTCATGGAGAACCAACAGTGAAGAAAAGCTTCCTGGTTCTAACCCATGACAGTGGACTTTATCAATTATACCCCACAAAAATTACACACATGCAGAAAAGCTCATCGTTTGCAACAGGACGGGCAGCAGAAACATCACCACATGGCAGACGACTTCTAAACACAGATCCTTTAGGCTGCACCTCATACTTTTGTCTACAAAGACACAGAGTTGCTAAAGATCTTAACCCCAGGAAGCAAGCCCTGGCCTCCAAGCAAACAGAGCAGACCAGCCCAGCTCCCACTGCTTTGGGCTGGACCTCCTTCAACACAGCGCCTGCGTCCACACTGCATGACTGGGGCACCATGTGGCATGCTGAAGCCCCAAACCACACATCTTTTCTTATGAGGTCATGGGGTTTCTTTTCAGTTGAAAGGTTACAAACTCTGCAAATACTATGGCAGACTGGTGCTTTCATAGCTTGATGCCAAAAATGTATGTTACATGTCCTGAAAGAGTGCCAGGCTCACTGAAAAGGAAATGGAACACTAGGCAGCATGAAGGAGTGCAGCCTGGTCTGCTCTTACTGACCAAGCCTCTAAGTAACAGCACTTATTAGGAACTATCTTGGGAACTGTGTATGAGTTAACTCTCACATGGTGTTAGCTGATTCTCACCAAAAGAAAGCCCAGAAATGAATGTAACTAACACAGTGTGGAGAGGATTCCAGAGCAAACCAAACACCACGTTATTTGACAAAGCAGACGTACCACCTCTCTGTGTATTATCTGGATCAATTCTACCAGACACCTTTTAGATGTAAGCACCATCTTTCATCTTACAAAGATACCTTTATGCAAGTGATCTTAGGACAAATCAGTAATTGCAAAGAATTTAAGAGTCAATACTTACCAATAACACTTAACTGAGCCCAACAGAAAATAATAACTAAGAACAGCAACACTATGATGACAGCCCTTTCCAGTAGAAGAAACCATGATCCTAGAGAATAAACAAAGAAAAATGGTAGGAAGAAAACAAAACCTGAGGTTATTAGCTTTACATTTATTGCTCCCTTTAGGCTATGCTCTAGCTTGCTCAATACTGCATGTAATAGTTAGCTTCAAGAGTTTTAATAGGCCAAAAAAGCTATGACTTCTACCTATGTATTTTTTACTCTGATCTTGCCTGTGACAACCTGGGGTTTTTTTTTCAGTATTTCTAGTTATCCTAGCATTTTCCAAACTGGAGGTCTTAACCTCCACTGCAGCAGAGGATATGTTTATGCTGTTGTGTGGCAGTACAAGCTACTTTGCTGTGGAACTACAAACAACACAGTAGATCAGAAAAATAGTGTATTTAGGCTAAGCAGGGAAGCTGGGCAAGATATGAAAAGCCCAATTTCATGCTTCCCCAGTTATTCTATTCTACCTCCATCTGCTATAATTCCAGAAGAAATCCAGATGTGTGATAAGGAACACAGGAGCTAACCTAAGTGAGAAGGAAACACTGCTTTGTTAATTTCAGAAACCACACATTTTCCTTTAGGTCTTCCCACCATCATCCATTTGGCCTTTTTTCCCCCTGCATCTTGGATGCCTTAGGCTGTTCAGTCACTTGTGCTGTAAGATCGTGTGAGCCACCTTCCAACATAAAATTCTGAAAATATCTCTACTGTACCAGAAAATGCAGTTGATTCTTGCATCTCTGCTCATAACTTCATTTAGACTCACTCAGTGGAATCCAAAGTCTCAATTTCTTACATTATGCTTGCCACCATTCCTCTGCCTCAACAGTAGCTTCCAAAGATATTTCTAATCTTCATACTCCTTGCACTTACTCTCCATATTTAAAAGCTGTATCTGCAGCTCCAGAAACATGGAATAAAGTAGTAATACCTTACAACTTTCAATGACAAGTAAATACCTTGAGTACAGTTTTAAATTCATAAATTCCCCCCTTCCCCCTTCCCTCCCCCTGCAAGGGGTCACAGGAGGTACCATGGTCACAACATAAATACAAGGCAGTCACAAAACATACTAAAGGCAGAGAAATGAAGGAATATCTTCCTTATTGCCAAAATAACCCTAATTTAATGAATTGTTTAAAGGAAGGCTTTTTGCCTCATTTGCATTTTCAGTAAGAAAACTAATATTGAACAGTAACTTTAATGCACAGTTGTCATTCTCTAGATAAGTCAAATCCTACAGGCAAATCCCTGCAATGTTGTTTGATGGAACTGAGAATTGTTAATGAATTGAAAGTATCTGCAAACAGAGACTCTAAAGCAGCTGCACTTCCTCTGCAGTGTTTCGAGGTATTACAGACAGGAACAAAGCAGCCATGAAGCCTGGTATCTGCCAGGACTTCAGCATGCAACATGGACTCACGTATGGTCCAGTCTTAAAGAGTCTAAAAGCACTTATTATATGGAAATGATTGCAAAACTGCTGTTACATGCAACATGCAAGTAAGAGAAACAGCTGAACACATTTTCCTGGTAATACATTTCCCTTACTCTGGTACTTCATAGCAATAAAGTAAACATCTGGCAAAAAGTATTATTTTGAGAGCCAATATAAGGAAGTCAATTCCAAACTAACAAGAGAGACTTCCACACATAGAGGGAGGGGAGAGGGGAGAGGGGAGAG